GATGTTTTCGGCATATAGTAGTCGCATATTGCTTGAGACGTAATGGCTAAAATAATTTAAAATGCAGTCGAAAAAAAATCCATTGAATTCTGGTGAAACTCGAACTTAAGAAAATATAATCGTAACTGTGGATTTTTGTTTATCGAATTATCTATGTATTCATTGAATAATATAAATATGATAATATAATAATATCCACTGTAGAACAGACTGGGGTCGCGGTCATGTCTAGATGTGCATGACTAGGGACGCCTGAAAATAAAAGGTTGGGAACCACTGGTCTAAGGCGACACACACAAGCACAGCTACTCTCTCAGTATGCGGTGGCGTGGACTTATGAATGCGTGTGTGAGTGTAAGTGGATGTGTGAGTGTTTTGAATTGTGTGCTTGTGCGAAATGGAGACAGACACACGCACACACACAGTAAGGAAATGGTAAACAGAAGGGAGAGAGAGGGAGAAAGGGAGAAGAGGGAGAGGGAGAGAGAGGGAGAAAGGAGAGAGGGAGAAAGGGGGAGAGGAGAAAGGGGGCGGGAGGGGAGGGAGGGAGGGAGGGAGGGAGGGAGGGAGAGAGAGAGAGAGAGAGAGAGAGAGAGAGAGAGAGAGAGAGAGAGAGAGAGAGAGAGAGAGAGAGAGAGAGAGAGAGAGAGAGAGAGAGAGAGTTAAGAAGAGAGAAAGGGAGCAAGAGAAGGGAAAGAAGGTGGACGAAGAGAAAGGGAGAGAGGGGAGGAAAGAGGTGGACGAAGGGGAGAGAGGGGGAGGGAAAGAAGTGCCCGATTGTCCTCGCCCCTAAAATAACGTCAAGCCAACCCCTTCTTACAACAACAATAACAACAAACCCCGCAAAGCCGCGTCCAAGAGGGGAGTGTGGGGGAACGGGGATGTGGGAGGGGAGGGAACAGCAGTGCCTCCGTGCCTGCGAAGCGCCCCGTGACCCGTACCCGGTCCCGATCCTCACCTGGGACCGCAGAGCCCACTGCAATTCCAGGGACAAATTCTCGCGGCGACCAAGCCTGTGCATCGTGGAATCAAAGACTGAATTCATTCGTGGGAAAAAAGGCTTATTCTTCATTACGAGTCGTGCACGTGTCGGGCTGGCGCTGTGAATGAGCGTCGGCGTGTGTCGGCTGGCAGTGGGAGCAACAGTTGAGGGGGGGGGGGGGGGCGACAGATGAGGGAAGAAAAAGAGGGGAAAGAGTGATGGTGCGCCGGCCGTGATCTCGGCTGTTGTGACGCTGCTGGTGGTGACTATGAGCATCATGGGGTTGCGTGAGCGGTGAGAGAAGCTGGGGGCAAGCCAGCATGGATGCGTCACCACGCTAAGCCCTGCCCCCGAAGCAGTAGGCAGCAAGGCGCCGGGACTCACCCACAGGCGTTGGAATGTCGTAGGTCCCCATGTCTCCCAGGACACGCTCCTATATGCCCTGCCCTGGGCTCCTGCCCGCTGCCACGTTCATTCGTTTACCCATGACGTGTGCCACGGCTGCTTCGCGCGCGAGTGCCAAGAGCGGTGCAGTGGGTGTCCCTTCGCGCCAGGCACAGCTGATTCACATGGCACCGCCGTTGACAAAGCTTGTGAAGTCATGCGGACATCGAAACAGCTTCTGCGATTTCTAAGGAGACAACTTTCTGCTGAGTCAAGATGTCGCGCTGCAGCACTCGATCAGCTCTCCTGAATAATACGGTCACACCAAAGTCATAACCATTTCGCATTGCTCTTCATGGACGCCACACTACGGAAGCCGTAATCTCGTTTAGGGTCTCTCTTGCTCTTACATTTACTTTTTTTTTCCTTTACGATATTCCTAAGCACACATCAACATACTTCGCAGCACCTCACAGACAACAATAAAGTAGCTTTTCGTTAAAATTAAAAACACGACTCGACTCCTTCGCAGTCCAAGCCCGCCGCCGCCACCTCCACACCATGAGCAAACAGTTCAAAACAACGCAGCCGATAAATGAAAAAAAACGTAGCCTAGCAATACCAAAACACCGGCCGGACTTGGAAGCTTATCAACACCGCGCGAGAAAGTTTTTGTCACACCGCGAGGCGACGATAACGCGAACTGAACTAAAACTTTCTGCGGAGGCGATAAAACAACCGCCGCCGCCGCCGCCGCCGCTGTACTTCCTGTGCCAGAAATGTCAACGTTGTTATAAATTGTGTACAAACTACAGGGGGAGGAGGAAGGCGGCGGGCGGGTTTACGTCACAGGGGGTGGGGGGAGAGGGGCAAGGAAGTCTGTGCTAGAGGGCCTGCGCGGGGCACTTCTCAATCTAGAGGGTAAATACCAGTGCCATCGTGGGAGGGGCGGGGGCGGGGCGGGGGTTGCTTAGAATGAAAACCCGTACAAGACGTGAATCTAACTCGTGTACAGCGAGGAAAAGGGGAGATCGGGAGGGAGCCCCGAGACAGCGAGTCCGTCGGGCGTGCTGCGGGAGCGCCCACTGAGCGCCTCGACGAAAGTGGTGCTCCGCCTGTGCCTCCTCCTCCTCCTCCACCATCTCCACCACCATTACCACCACCTCCACCAACACCATTACCATTACCACTACTACTACTATCACAACCACCAACCACCACCCCGCCCCCACCTCTACCTCACCACCTCCACCACCTCCACCTCCACCAACCTCCTCCACCTCCTCCCGACGTGGACTCGCGTGATCATCGACCATCCACCATCCACGACTCGCGGCCATGTAACTATAATAAGCCGTCCGCCACGACTCGCACGACCAACCGGAGTTATTCGGGCAAAGTAATTTCAGCTTGCTCGAGAAAACTTACTCGTGTTGGTCTTTGAGGGCCTATTTACTCAGCCTGATCCTCTATTTATCATTACTAAAACAATGATAATAATGACAATAACAACAGCAGCAATGATAATGACAGTAATAACGAGAATAACAACAATAATAACAATATCAATGAAAATAACAGCAATAATCACAATACCCATAACAAAAACAACAATAATAATAATGTCACTAATAATGAGAACAACAACAACAACACCAATAATGACAAAATCAACAACATAAATGATAATTATAATGAGCATCGACAAAAGCTGACAGTTCCAACCGATATTTCAGAGTAATGCCAAGTGACAGGAAGTATGCCGACGTCTGCCAAGTGAACTGACTATTTTCTGGCACCTGCAAGTATTGCTTTGCGTGGCAGTACTTACTCAATAGTATGCCATAAACGATTAACGAAAAAGGGCCATGTAAACACCAACGATCCGAAGCAGGAATAAATATGGATTAGCCACGAACGAAGTAGAAGCCACGAGATTCTACCTCCGAGGTAACAGGTGCCAAAGGGAGGCCATGAGGGTGATGGACCAGAACCAGCAAGTACTAACACAAAGGGGGGAGGAGGGAGGGAGAGAGAGGGATATATATATATATATATATATATATATATATATATATATATATATATATATATGTATGTATGTATGTATGTATTATGTATGTCTGTACGTATGTATGTATGTATGTATATATGTTATTATGTATGTATGTATGTATATATTATGTATGTATATGTATGTATGTATATATAAATATATATATATATATATATATATATATATATATATATATATATATATATATATATATATAGAGAGAGAGAGAGAGAGAGAGAGAGAGAGAGAGAGAGAGAGAGAGAGAGAGAGAGAGAGAGAGAGAGAGAGAGAGAGAGAGAGAGAGAGAGAGGGAGAAATGGAGGGAGGGGAGGGAGGGAAGGGAAGGAAGGAGGGAGGGAGGGAGGGAAGGGAAGGAGGGGGGGGGAAGGGAAGGGAGGATCCTGGTACGTACTATCGGCTCTGGTCATGCAGTGCCAAGGTACAAGCATCGATTATTGAGACGTAGCGGTCGTGGCGACATACCGCCGTCTGGCACACTATTAGGCTGTTCTTGGAAGGGGCCTTATTCGTCACGCGGCCTGCGAGTCGGCCCGCAGCAGAATCTTTCTTCCGTCCTGCCCCCCCCTGCCACAGGTTATTATGCAAGAACTGTCCTCCGTTGCACAACCAGAAAACAACGTCTATCAAGTTCTAACAGACAGAAGGGAAAAATATACATATTATATATATATATATATATATATATATATATATATATATATATATATATATATATATAATATATAAACAAATATTAAATCAATCAACAGCTATCTATCTATCGACTAAAGTGACGGCATGTCCCAAGAAGCAGCAGGTCGACACAGCACCCAGTCCCTGCGCGCCAAAGGCCGGCTCGCGCGCCCTGCTTACACTTCTGACCCTAATCAAGACGGGGAATGCAACCTAGTCTTCCGCCAGGTTTATGACTTGCTGATGACCTCTTGAGAGACAACCGAGACAGTGATGAAAATCGATATCAATGTCCTGAATATTTAAAGCGAAACACGACGACGTAGGCCCTCGCACAGACCCCCGTTTGCCACACGGTGCTCCCTGCCCCGCGGGGGTTTTCTAACCACGGGTTTTTTTCAACACCAAATTATCATTATCATTCTTTTAAACAACGAAATATTTTTGTGGCACTGCAAAAAGCTTCACTCATATCACATTATTTTCCATCTTATCTCGCGCTACTTCAAAAACCAAGTTGGAATACTGATAGTCCCGATAAGCATTCCCGAGCTGTTTCCATCGCACCTTCCCAACAAGCGATCTACCTTCCACCTCCGAGACAACACTAACGTTTCGAAGCCTTTCGCTCCCACACACCCACACGCGTCTCCCTCCTTCGCGCACGTGTTGTTGTAGCGTCGCCTAAGGAGCCACTGGGTGTTCGTCGTCGACGCGCATCGATAACGCTGTCAACAACGTTAGTGAGGAATTCAGTCTCCGTTGCCCCCGATAGACTGCGATTCAGCCGAGTCGGGGGAAAGGGGCGCCAGAAGAGACTCTTTCGTGATATGAGGCAATATTTTCCCCTTTTCTCTGTCTTTTTTCTGGCCACGGGGTAATTATGAGGCCTTCGGATCCAGGGGAACGCCAGGAATCTTAAACTTTTCTAATCTAGGGAAGAATGTGTCTCGTAGCTAGGAAATAAATATATATATCGGGAACTTTTGTTTCGCTACGAGACCGAACTGCTGTCCGAGTTTGAGCCCGAGTTCTGACGCAAACCTTCGCCCGCCTCGCCAAAGCCGATTCCGGGAGGCAGGAAGAGGAAGTCACGAACTGAGTCACGAAGTCACGAACGGAATCACGTACGGAGTCACGAACGGAATCACGTACAGAGTCACGAACGAAGTCGAGAGCGAAACCACCGACTACACATCGTCACAACGCACAGCCCCACGAAGCCTGTGCAACATCCCCTGCACCATTCTCTTAAGTGGCCGAGGCAGCGACGCCGCGACAGAACACCTGCCTCAGTCACGATCCGATATTGACTGAAGCACTGCTCGCGTGATGCACGGGCCGGGGAGCCTGTTGTGCTGATGGGGCGCTCACCCTGGGATAGGGGAGGTGAGGGGAGGGGAGAGGAAGAGGGAGATGGAAAGAGAATGGTAGGAGAGGAGAAAGGGGAGGGCGAAGAAGAAAGGGAGATAGAGGAGGAAGAACACGTAGATTTCCTTGAGATGATCTGTCTTTTTTGCCATGTGACAGCAATGTTACGTCAAGTCATGTCTTCTCTTCTTCCCTCAACACCACCTCCTTATGTGGAAGCTGATGCCTAGAAGAGAAACTTCAGTCGTCCTCCTCCGCTCTTCAAAATACGATTGGCACGGCCCGAGGGAGCCACGCACGGCGGCGGGGAGTGCCGGAGCCAGCCAGCCAGGCGTGGGCGAAACGGGCGAGTCCTGTGAGGATGCTGAGGGACGCCATCATACTAGGATCTTCTCTCTCTCTCTCTCTCTCTCTCTCTCTCTCTCTCTCTCTCTCTCTCTCTCTCTCTCTCTCTCTCTCTCTCTCTCTCTCTCTCTCTCTCTCTCTCTTTTCCTAGGCCTCTTCCCCGCTTGTCTCCGCCCTCACTCGCCCCCGAAGCCACATCTGAGAAGGTTCGCTTGTCTGAGTGTGTGTGTGTGTGTGTGTGTGTGTGTGTGTGTGTGTGTGTGTGTGTGTTGTGTGTGTGTGTGTGTGTGTGTGTGTGTGTGTGTGTGTGTGCCACTCCCCTCCTTCATCGTACCTCTTCCCTTCCGCACCTATTGTCAAAACTCACTCGGGGGAGCATTACCCAAAATATCGTAATTCCTTTTTTATTACCACTACGACCTCGCATTACCTCCCGTTAAGAAGAAAAACGTGAGCAGATAAGCCCCCCCCCCCCAAAAAAAAAAAAAAAAAAGAAACAGCAAGCAGACACCTACGAATCGGGCTTCAACTCAGATTCCTCGCCTTATTCAGGTGTTCACATTAACAGGTCAGATCAGAAGGCACGTCGCCGGGTCACGTCAAGACATTGCTTTCATTCATAAAAAGAAAACAAGCTTTAAAAATTCCATGTGATATTCAATTCCATATGTGTGATAATAGAAAGAGAAAAGGGAGAGAAAATGAAAGAAAGTGAGAGGAGGAGAGGAGATAGAGAAAGAAAGACAGAGAGAGAAAGAGAGAAAGAGAGAGAGAGAGAGAGAGAGAGAGAAGAGAGAGAGAGAGAGAGAGAGAGAGAGAGAGAGAGAGAGAGAGAGAGAGGAGAGAGAGAGAGAGAGAGAAGAGAGAAGAGAGAGAGAGAGGAGGTGGAGAAGAGAGGAAGAGGAGGAGAGAGAGAGAGGAGACAGAGGAGAAAGAGCAGGAGGAGAGAGAGGAAGAGGAAGAGGAGAGGAGGAGAGAGAGAGTGAGAGAGAGAGAAGAGAGAAGCGCGGGGAGGAGGAGAGAGAGAGAGGAAGAGGAGGAGGGGAGAGAGGGGAGAAGGGGAGAGAGAGAGAGGGGGGGGGGGAGGGGAGGAGAGAGGGAGAGGAGAGAGACAGAGAGAGAGAGAGAGAGGGAGAGAGAGAGAGGCGAGAGAGAGAGAGAAATGTAAGAGAAGAGAAAGAGAGGGGGAGGAGGAAGAGGAGGAGAGGAAGAAGGAAAGAAGAAGAAGAAGAAGAAGAAGAGGAGGAGGGGAGGGAGAGAGAGAGAGAGGAGACAAGGAGAAGAAGTAGGGGAGAAGAGAGGAGGGGAGGAGGAGGGGAGAGTAGAGAGAGGAGAGAGAGAGAGAGAGAGAGAGAGAGAGAGAGAGAGAGAGAGAGAGAGAGAGAGAGAGAAGAGAGAGAGAGAGAGAGAGAGAGAGAGAGAGAGAGAGAGAGAGAGAGAGAGAGAGAGAGGAGAGAGAGAGGATAGAGGAGGGAGAGAGAGAGAGAGAGAGGAGGAGTGAGAGAGAGAAGAGAGGGAAGAAGAGATAGAGAGAGAGAGGGAGAGAGAGAGGAGAGAGAGAGAAGAGAAAGAGAGAGAGAGAGAGAGAGAGAGATAAGAGTGATAAGAGAGGAGAGAGGGAAGAGGGAGAGAAGAGAGAGATGAGAGAAAGTAGAGAGAGAGAGAGGAG